CTAGAAGCCCGGTGCACAAATATATGTATAGGTGGGGTCCAGCTGGCCCACCCCAATCAAGGCCAATTGGGAGGGGGGGGAGGGCCATGGAAAGTTGGCCAGCTGGCCCCACACTCCCTCCCCTCCTCACCCCCCCACCCGGTCGACCTCCTGGTTGAGGGGACAATTTGCATATTAGGCTTTTATTACATAGGAGGATTTTTTTACATTAATTTTTAAAATTGTATGAAAATATAGCTTTTATTTAATACAGAGTTTTGGGGTTCCCTTGAATTTTACACCTGAGATTAATGCCTTGATCATTTCGCCCTAGTCCTCTCCCCTTCCCCCCTGCTTTTTCAAACATCCCTCCCTTTCTGTTTCCTCTGTGGCAGCCCTCAATCACCAGCCTCCATTCTCTGCTCTGATCCATCCTACAGCTGCACCCAGTATTTTCTTCTTTGAGTGGGAGTTGAGTTGTGCCCATCTCTCCTTCAAATGTCTTCAAAGCCTCCCTGCCTCCTATAGAGTCCAACCACCGCCTCCCCATCCCCAGATCACTGGGCTCCGTGTCAGAGGCTCTGCTAACCTTTCCAGCTTCATTCCCAGCCAAACGCCTCAGTTCTATGCTGGTTTACTCAGCCTTCTCCAGAGAAGCCTGTTCCCCACCACACTGCCTCTGTGCTGCTCTTCCCGGAGTCCTTTCCATCTCCTCTCCACCTCTCCCCTCCCCTCTCCTCCCCTCTCTCTCCTCCCCTTTCCTCAGAAAATATACACTCTGACTTCTATTTACTTTACCTGTCATCCTGCCCCTGCCAGCCTCCCTGGAGGTGGCTGTGAGCACCTTGATTGCAGAGTCCATGCCTTGTTCCCCATGCCCAGGGCTAGATGACAGCACTGCAGGCTTACTATTTGGCGCCTCTTCAACCTCCAGCTGGAGCCTATACTTTGACAGATATCTTAGTCACCTCCTTCATGGCTTCTGTATGGATCTTTCTCCACAGATCTTCCCTCTACCTGATGGATATCCCAGTGATACCTCAGACTTGGTTTGAAAATGGAGTCTTGTTTTCCACTGGCTCCCTATCCCCTAGGGTTGTATACTACAGACACCTACAACTAAGGGCTGCAAAAGTGACCTGCCCACAGTTGTTCGCAGGCAGTTATTCCGGGATATCATGACAGCATCTATTTAACACCCTCTCTCACCCTCTGAGGTCCCCCACATGAAGCTGGGGTGGGGAGGGGCCATAAGAACCTGTCCTCTGTTGTATGCAGATGCCCATGAGTGGGTTCAGCAGTGAGGACAGTGTGGGGGCAGGTACAGGTGCCCTCACTTCTCAGCACCAATCCCACTCCAACCCTGTGCAGACAAGGGAAGAGGAGGGCGTTCTTAACGCTCACAAGCAGGGTCTTAAGATTTATTTTAAGATATATCTCAGTTTCTATTACCTCTGACTCTCAAGGTGAGTTCATCTGCCTTTCAATGTGAGATAACAGCAAGCATCCTCCACCTCCTCCACCATGATTCAAACCAGTACCTTCCAAGTTCATGGCTGTCTCCTAAAACCTGAGGGTAAGCACCTCTCTCCAACACTGAAGAGCTGAGGTAAACGAGGCAGTAGTATTCAGTTGCTAATACGCTGTTTGGGGGATCTCTGTCTATGTAGACACCCACAAATCTATAGGATGGGGCAAAAGTAGGTTTATAATTGTGAGTATGTGAAACAGTTATTCTTTGTTATTATTTATTAATTATTGTATTATTTTCTATCCAAAAAACTGTAAACCTATTTTTGCCTCACCCTATAAAGATAGTATAGTCTTTTTTTAAAAAAATATTTTTATTGATTTTTTACAGAGAGGAAGGGAGAGAGACAGAGAGCTAGAAACATCGACGAGAGAGAAACATCGATCAGCTGCCTCCTGCACATCTCCCACTGGGGATGTGCCCGCAACCCAAGTACATGCCCTTGACCGGAATCGAACCCGGGACCCTTCAGTCCGCAGGCCGACGCTCTATCCACTGAGCCAAACCGGTTTCGACAATAGTATAGTCTTTTATGTTATCTTTTAAAGTTCATTTTCTGTGTCTTGATGCCTGAAGGTATGAGGTCTAATACTTGATAATGCCTCTTATGGCACACCAGTTCTTTTACACAGGCTACTTAATCATCATTTAACCTAATAACCCCAAATGGTAGGTGTATTCGTTTCTTAGGGATTCCATAACAAACTACCATAAACTGAGTGGTTTAAAACAACAGGAATGTACTCTCTCACAGTTGTGGATGCTAGAAGTCCAAAATCAAGGTGTCAGCAGAATTGGTTCCTTCTGGAGGCTCTGAGGGAGAATCTGCTCTATGCCTCTCTCCTCGCTTCTGCTGGTTGCCAGCAATCCTTGATATTCTTGGTTTATAGACATATCACCCCAATCTCTGTCACCTTCACATGGTATTCTCCCTGTGATTTCTGACTATATCTCTATCCAAATTTCCCTCTTGTTATGAGAACACCAGTTATTGGATAAGGGTCCACCCTAATCCAGTATTACCTCATCTTAACTTAATTCATCTTTAAACACTTGATTTCCAAATAAGGTCACACTTAAGGTACCTGAAGTTATAACTTCAACATTTCTTTTTGGGGGGTCACAATTAACCCATAATAGTATCATTCCATTGTTCTCACCTTCATGTTAGATTGAGACTCAGAGAGTAACTTATACAAAGAGATAGGATAGATGGCATAATTCAGTTTTTAATTTGCCTAGACATAATTATACCAATTATTGGATGCCTGCTTGTACTAGGCCTTCTACTGGGTGCTTCTTTTTCATTTCTAATCCTGCATATAGTTATTATCCCCAATTTTATAAGCAGAGATGTGTATTATTTAAGTAGCTTGCCCAGAGTTACATAGGTAGGAAGTAGCAGATCTGAGAATCAATCCAATAATTCTCACCCAATTCAACATACCAGAACATCTTTGGGATACCTCACCCCCCTCACTCCCTTTATACTCTCCCCTGATATAACTCCCTACCTGCAGCTGAGAGTCATGGCTATAAAGAGCAAGTTACTGGAATTTCCTAAGTGAACCGTGTAAAGGCATAAAATTAATCACTGGAATCACAGCACTGAAACTCAATGCCTCACAGTGGGTGACAGTCTGATGAGAAAGACCAAATCTTCATCTTCTTTCTGGCAGCCAAATAAAAGTTGCATGAAAAAACAGTGTAAGGAGTAAATGCCATTAAAGAGCAATATATGTTACAACTAATTACTTCCCTACAGCATGCTGCATGCGGGCTGAAGCCACTTTTCTGTTCAAACAGGCGCCGTACTGGGAAGGAGCCTTTATGACCATGATGGGGAAGAACCTGTCTCAGCCAAATCCATAGAATGGTTAAATTGATTCATTCTTGCTCAAAATAAAGAAATCAAAAGCATCACTTGCTGAGAGGTGCTGTGCACTCTTCCTCAACATCAAAGTTGTGCCATGCACACACTCATCAGTGCCTTATAGACACAGCACCAGAACACAGAGACCTTCAAGCAAAGCATGAGTCACAGCAACATCCTCAAATCAGTGCAAGGCCATGTGAGAAGCCACTCAGCCCAATGCCACTAACCGAGATTGGAGCAAAACTTACAAGTTAAAGTTGTTTTTGCTCGTATTACCTCAAAAGGATACCACAGAAGTAGGGAATAGGAACACGGCTCTGGAGGCAGGCCAAGTAAAATGCCAATCCCACCTCTACCATGCACTACTCATAGGGCCCTAGTGCATTATTTCTCTTTTTGAAGCCTCAGTTTCCTTATTGCAAAATGGAGATATTGACATGAACCTCATAGAGCTGTTATAAGGAATATCAGCATTCCACTCTGACCCTTGATTCCTAACATAGAATATAAGCTCTGGGTAAGAATAAAATATTTTTTAGTTTTTTATTTATCTTATCCCATGTGACAATATTTCTTTTTAAAAGAGACATGGCTTAAATAATAAATGGGAGCAGAGATCTGGCAGAAGCATCAGGATGGGAAAACAAGTGACAGGATGAGAAAACACCACATTGATAGGAGATACTAATTTCTTTCATGTGCTCAATATTTTTCATGTGCTCAATATTATCCAACTGAATAAAACACACACACACACACACACACAGGACTGGATGGAGTTAGGGAACAACTTGTACTACTTTATCACATTGTTATTAGCAATATTTTCCCACACCTTATTTACATCTTCAAATATCTTATGCTCAATTTTATACCTATGAGACAACATCCTAAAGGCAGGGATAAGCTTCTACTCACCCATGCATCCCTTGACTGAGTGTGTTGAACAGAGATGACAAAAACAGCTTTTGATTTGAGCCATCTGAAGGAGAGCCATCTAGAGGCAAATGATTCAAACAGCATCTCCACAGGCAGTTAAGCAACCCAAACTCATTTTGAAATAGATGTAACTGCACAAGTAATGTGTACTCTCTATGCAAACCCTGAAATAAAGTTTGTAAGACTGATACAATACAAAATGGCATTTAAGCCAAAAATAAAGCCTGAGCAAAGAGATTTTTGGTTGTATTTTTAATCAGTGAAAGTACCAATCCATTTCACAAACAGCTTTACAGGAAGAATGGAGTAATTCATCCTGTCAGTTAAAATTCATAAAAAAATAAGCTCCAAAATTAGTTAAATACAACTATTCAAATACATTATTAGTATAAAAAAACCTCTTAGAATAAACAGTAGCAGTATTTACTTGTAAACAAAACCGCCAGTAACAACCCTTCACTTAATGACAACAAATCTGCATTGTTTTAAAATACTAAAGATATAATAAAGAGAATAGTGACCATTTTTCTTCTTAATATATAATACTCAATATCCAAAATAATGTTATCAATAATAGATACAAATTGGTGTTGTCATAAGGCGTGTTAAACAGTCTTTTTCACAGTACTCGGGCATCATGTCGCTGCAGAGGGCAAAGTTTTCAAAAGTCTTCTCCTAGCTGTGATCGTTGCACACCCGGGGGGCACTCAGAGGACTGGGAAGCACTGCTGGTGAAAGGCAAGCTCTGGACTCTGCAAGCAAGAAAGGACAGCTCATGAGCAGAGGGGCTATCTTGGTTTTCTCACATATGGAACCCTCATCCCCCGGGAGAGAGAGGATCGGAGTGCAGGAAACAAAATTCTTTCCAAAAAGAAATGGGTGAAGATGGGAAACTCAAGGGGATTATATA